GGTGGCAGAAAATGTAGTCTTCTCTAATTCAAGATAAACTCAGCCAATTCTGTTTTATTTTTTTATTTTTTTGATCCATTTACAAGCACTAACATGGGGGATTATGATTCAAAAATTAGCTTTGTTTTCTGGTTCTCTGGGCAGGTTCATTTTCTACATAATTGTATATCACTTTGTCGTTTATATTATGGTTAGAATAACCTAACATAAAAGTATATGATTTTTTTTATTGAGGTGTAAATTGACATAACATTATATTAGTTTCAGATGTACAACAATGATTTGATATCTGTATATATTGCAAAATGGTCACCACAACAAGTCTAGTTAACATCTGTCATCATACGTAGTTACAAATTTTTTTGCTTGTGATGGGAACTTTGAAGATTTACTCTCGCAGCAACTTTCAAATATGCAATACAGTATTATTAACTATAGTCTATGCTGTACATTACATCCCCAGGACTTAATGTATAACTTGGAGGTTTGTACCTTTTGGCCCGCTTCACCTATTTCGCCGACCCCTACCCCATCCTCTGGCAACCACCAATCCATTCTCTGTGTCTATGAGCTTGGTTTTTGTTTTTAGATTCCACCTATAAGTGAGATCATAGGCATTTGTCTTTCTCTGACATTTCACTTAGCATAATGCCCTCAAGGTCCATCCACGTTGTTGCAAATGGCAAGATTTTCTTTTTTATGGGTGAGTAGTATTCCATTACAGATATATACCACATTTTCTTTATCCATTCATCCACTGATGGACACTTAGGTTGTTTCCATATCTTGGCTATCGTAAAGGACGCTGCAGTGAACATGAGGGTACATATGTTTTTGAGTTAGTGTTTTCATTTTCTTCAGATAAATATCTAGAAGTGAAATTGCTGGATCATATAGTTTTATTTTTAAATTTTTAATGGAAACTCCATACTGTTTTCCAATTCTAAGACAGGATTAAACTTGGTCTCTTTTGGGTACCTGTTCAGGAGTTTCCTTCTCCGTATGCCCTCTACTTCTTTCAGTCTCTGTAGCTGCAGAGGACATGTGTCTGGAGGGAGGAGCTTATGCATACCCTGATTTGGGGAGGAAAGCAGCATCTGCCCACTGTGATGCTCTGTCCCCATCAGCTTCCTCTGATGGGCAACTCTTCCCACGTCGTCCCACGGTCCCGAGCTAGCATCAGTTCCCGATGTCCAAGTTTCCACTATCACCTCCCCTAACCTTTATCCTCATGGTCTAGACTCCAGCTCCTTCAGGTCTATGTGGCTGGCTTAGGACCTCTTAAGCATCCCTCTTGGTGGTCACAGAAGCTTTTCAGATCTTTCCCCACCTTGCCAAGGTGCCTGGGGTTCTCTGCTGCCACCCTAGACCATGGCTCCTCTGCTCTTATAACATCATTCTGGATGTGACAATTCTCCCAGGAGCTGTCGTTCTCCCTGGGACATTCCGAGAGGAGAGACACACGCGCCCTCTGCTATGGCATCCCTGATGATGTACAAATTTCATTGACTGTGACTACAATAGGAAGCACGTTTTACATCACGGCTGAGCACATGCACACAACACAAATGAAACAGCTTCATGAAACAATATTTACCATTACTCTCTGCAATGTACTCTGTTATGTTCTATTCTATTCCATTTCATTTCTTTCAATGAAAAGAAATAACCAATAAATCAACTTTATGATCCAACAGTAGGTCTCAACCCACAGTTTGAAAAACAATGCCCTAACAGTGGGATTCTATTGTTCACTTCCCCTGGGATTTGAGTTCATGGGCCCCATAGCAAAAACGAAACAGGAAACAGTCCTCCACTTGTTTTGTTCTTTCTCAAAATGCACAGCTTTTGGAATAAAAGAAGTCCTGCCTTTCAAGATGTTGTCTCCACTATGAGTTTAAAATAAATCCATTCAGACTGTCAACAAACTTTTTATTCTCAGCTTTATCTGCACTCTGTCTGAGAACAATGTGTATAGAATATGACAGAATGGAAGAGGAAAGAAGCACAAAGAAATAAAACCTAAGTTAATATTTCCAAACATTTTATGTTCTATTGCTAATAGTAATAATAATAGCTAATAATGACTGAGTGCGTACTATGGGTCAGGAACTGTGCTTAGCATTTCACATTTATTATTTCAGTTAATCCTCATGACATCCCTATGATACGGTACAAATATTAGTCCCATTGTATAAAAAGGAAACTAAGGCTAACCTAAATTTGACTCTGTCCCCTCCCTCCACATCTAAAGACCATTTCGCATGTCCATTTCTTCCTTGTGCTTACCCCACCTCTATAAAATAAGGGATGGGGACTAGACTATCTCTTTCAGCTCCCAAAGAGCCCAACAACCTTATCACAGGCACAGCTGCTTTCTACTAAGTTTGAAAAGTAATGGTCTATTGCTAGTCTGCATTTTGACCTGCACATGATCCCTCCTGCTGCTCTCAGTCTCTCCCCATCCAGGGCTCCCTGCAGCCTAGAACTCAAGGTCATCCACAATCTTCTCCCAACTTAGAAGGGATTGGGAGTCCTTCCTGGTTCTTAGAACCTTCAGGCCCTTATAGGAAATGACTGTAGTAACTTCTCTTTATTTTTTCTAAAACTCACATCTATGAAAGGGAAAAAAATGCCTGGATAATGCAAACAAAGATAATTACAAACTATTGATTTTTCCCCCTCCAATTTGATTAGTTCATTTATTCAGCAAATATTTATTGAACATGTACTAGGAACTATTCTACAGGCTACTGGAGATTTGGTGGTGAACAAGACAGATCAAACTCTTGCCCTTCTAGAGTTTGCATTCTATAGGGGCTCGTTTCAGGGGAGTGCAGACACTGGTTGGTGCTCCTCAACCTTCTTTTTATTTGGTGAGGAAGATTGGCCCTGAGCTAATATCTATTGCCAATCTTCCTCTTTTTGTTGAGGGAGATTGTCCCTGAGCTAACATCTGTGCCCATCTTCCTCTATTTTGTATGTGGGATGCTGCCACAGCACGGCTTGATGAGTGGTGCATAGGTCCACGCCTGGGATCCAAACCCATGAACCCTGGACTGCGGAAGCAGAGTGTGTGAACTTAACCACTATGCCACCGGGCTGGCCCCTCTTCAACCTTCTTTTAAATCACAGCTTCCCGTGAGAAATACGTTTTGCACAGCAATGAAGTACATTCCTTCTCCCCCTTTCCTGCTCCACACAACAGAATCAAAAGTATTATAGGACAACACTTACTCTTATTATGTATAAAAAAACCTAAAAACACAAAATCATTAATTAATTTATTTTTATTATTAATCGTATTGATACTTGAATGAAGCACAGAAAAATTCCCAACAAGCAATACAAAAACAAGAATTAGGTAAGATTTTATTTAATGCATTAGGTGTGCTTGTCTGCTTCTCAGTTTATTCCAGTCCAGAACATACAAGGATAATACTTTGTGCATAAACTCATGAGCCTGTTTCTCTCCTTTGTTTTAATCAACTTTAAAGGTTGAAAATCCTGATTCATACAAACAGGTTATTGTGAATGGTGATAACAGCAATGCATTCTTTTTACCTAGCAATGGAAATTCTTTAATCTTACTCTAAAATAATGATGAATTTAATGTCTTGTGATCATTTTTTAGTGCAAACAAGGAACTAAGCTGCAATAATTCATTTGCCTCTTTTGGGTACCAAGTCTAGGTCAATTATTGATTTAGTACTTCAAAAAGAAAATAGCTCTTTCACCTGAAAATTTTTCGCTAATACTTATAATTTCTCCTCTGGAGAACAGTGATTACAAATTTGAAACTGAGAGCTGAAATGTAACAATATCCCTAATTTTATTTAAGTCCCTGTCTTGACTAATAATGTTCTCTTCCATATGTTGTAACAATATTGGGAACAAATAGGAGCTAGCGTGATTGCTTTTAAGTCTTAACTTGCCATAACAAAATGCCTTCTGGAATCCTGGATACGTTTGACTTGCTGAATTATATTGTTGTTTTCTCCCTGGAGTTATAAATTTAAGTTCATTAAAAGTATCAATATCATCAGTTAAATATACTAGTTTTATTTTATTTTATTTTTTTTTAAAGATTTTATTTATTCAGTTTTTTCCCCCCAAAGCCCCAGTAGATAGTTGTATGTCATAGATTCACATCCTTCTAGTTGCTGTACGTGGGACTCGGCCTCGCGTTGGACGGAGAAGTGGTGCCTCGGGGTGCTTCCGGGATCCGAACCCAGGTCGCCAGCATCAGAGCGCGCACACTTAACCGCTAAGCCACAGAGCCGGCCCAAATATACTAGTTTTAAATCACAAACATCAGCTTCGAAAATGAGGTTGCTTGCCAAATGAGACTGCTTTTCAACTAGAAAAATGTGACTGTCATTTCTGAGTTTATTCACCCTGCTTAGTACTTTCCCTTCGGTTCCCTTAGGACAATCCATGAACTTCAGTATGCTTCAGCATGACGGTCTCGTTAGCTCCAATCTGAACAAAACACAGCAATATTTTGGCTATTCAATGAGCTCTCTTTAATAAATTTAGCAACCTTCCTTATTTTTTTTTTAAATACTTCCATGAGATACAGCAGAATTATTTCTAGAGATGCCAAGTAGAATTACTATTGATGCTGACTTCCAAGCACAAGTGTTATTAGTAGCTTTTAACAATATTTTAATAGCTTTGTTATGTTTTCTAACCACATCTGCTGGCTCCATTCCTTATAATTTATTATATTTCCAGTTTAATCTATATTGACCAACGAGGCACTTTTTCTAGTTTTGTAAATATATCTTATCAAGTGTGTGCGAGGTTAAATTAAAACACACACATGCACATGCACACTTTATCATCTTGCATAAACTAGAAGAGTTTGAATAACTTACAGCATCCATGCTTTTCTTGGGATGGATCTCAAGCTTTCTACTGGATTTTAACCACATGAGAAGCATGGCTTTGGAAGGTTCTGCAGTGGTGCCGATTTGACTACAAATAGTATTATCCCCAAGAGTTGTAAATTTTAATTTATCAGTTGATTTAGCCTTAAAAATCATATGCATCACATCTATTTGTGTTAGAAGAGTATTTTTTCAGTATCTGTGTGAGCCATTTCCTCTTTTGCTGAACCATATGCAACTAAATCTCATTAACAGTCTGTAGAGCAACTAAGAAATTGTGCCACTAATTTTTCGTCCTTTGTTTTCATTTAAAAACGTTGGAGGGGCTTGTTGACAAGTCCAGCGTGCTGTGTTTCTAAATGTCCTACTAGTTTTGAAGGTGTCATTACAAATGATTTATTGGGGTTTGTCACTTTTATTGGATTTTATACACTAAAAAAACTATTTTAGATAATCTGCCTTATAAAGTCTTGCATTGCCTCTTTCTTTTTACAATGCACCTTAAATGAAGTTGAAACTTACTCTTAGAGTCAATGTTTTTCTCAACATTGTCTCTATTTACAGTTGAACTTGGGCATTCCTCTACTTTTCACTTCACCATTCTTTTCCTTTCTAATAGTAAGGAGAATTCCCATTAAAGGGAAATTCATGCTAATTTAATTAAATGTACATTTGATGCAAACCGGAAACATATCCCCACTGGATAATGTCCTTTCAGAGAAATACTTTACAATGAAGTCTGAATAATGTTAATATAAACTGTCTTAATTGTCTTGTAATGGTGATGGTCATATTCATATCATATATCAGAAAATCGAGGGTCAGCCCCCGTGGCTTAGCGGTTAAGTGCGCGCGCTCCGCTACTGGCGGCCAGGGTTTGGATCCTGGGTGCGCACCGATGCACTGCTTCTCCGGCCATGCTGAGGCCGAGTCCCGCATACAGCAACTAGAAGGATGTGCAACTATGACATACAACTATCTACTGGGGCTTTGGTGGAAAAAAAAAAAAAAGGGAGGAGGATTGGCAGT